ACTCTAGAGGATCCCCAAAGTTCAAAAGTGTGGAGGTGGCCACCCTAACATCCTCCAAGAACCCGGGAGTGAGGGTATGGGCCTGTTGAGCAGCTTGAGCAAGTTCAGCAGTGGACATGGTAAGTGGGAATGGGACGATCGAGGGTGGTGAATGTGCGCGTCGGAATGGGACAATGGTGAATGTGAAATTACGAAGTTGTAAACGTGGTCACGTGGTGGCGTTACTTCAACCAAGATCCGTACAATGTTCAACCGAGATCCGCAGAATGTTCCATGGCCGATCTGCAGTGGCTTGCTTTCCCACCGTTGAAAAACAATGTGTCTTCATCACCAACCACACAGTGCAATCCCAGGAAAAGCTATCTACTCTCTGACTGATATGTCTTTAACAAATCCAGGTATTGTCCCTACTCCACACCAAGGATTGTCTACTTAATGTAGATAAACAGAAGCTGTGATGAAAGACCAAGAAATGAAGGATGGTAAGTTTTATGTACTCTTGTCGGCTGAGCAGTTCTAACCATATCTTAGGAACGGCCGAGGCTCTACCCCCTCTTCAACCAAGTGGTGAGTTCCAGTCGGTGACAGAAAACTAGCCAAACCTAAATTCTGGGTGGCCGATAGGACAGAGCCAAGAATCCGAACTAGTGATGGAAGTGGACGTCCCATCCTCGGCTCCTCACAGATCCATTTTCGATTTCAAAGAACCTACCCCTGCTATAAGTTCCAACCCATTCACCCCAGCCTCGGCTCACCAATCCATTTTCGAGTTTAAGAAAGTCGGTACTTCAGCTTTTGCCCCGACCTCGGCTCATCAGGCATCAATGTTCGATTTTCAGCACGTGGGCACTTCAACGAATGTGCCACCCGTTTCCCCGTCCTCGGCTCATCAGCCATTGATTTTCGATTTCCAGAAGCCTGACAACCCTGCACCAGCCTCGGCTCGTCAGGCATCAATTTTTGATTTTCAGCAAGTGGGCACTTCAACGAATGTGCTGCCTGTTCCCCCGTCCTCGGCTCGTCAGCCATCCATTTTCGATTTCCAAAAGCCTGACAACCCTGCACCAGCCTCAGCTCGTCAGGCATCGATTTTTGATATTCAGCAAGTGGGCACTTCAACGAATGTGCCGCCTGTTCCCCCGTCCTCGGCTCGTCAGCCATCCATTTTCGATTTCCAAAAGCCTAACAACCCTGCACCAGCCTCGGCTAATAAAGGATCCCCTTTCGATTTTCAAGTCCATCGTTCATTTACCCCGGCCTCGGCTGTTCAGGCTTCCATTGATTTTCAAACACCTGGCACATCTGCTCCAGCTCCTGCCTCTGACAAACCAGGCATGTCTTCCCCTGGCGCCTCAAGGTCCAATAGTACTCTGGGATCACGGAAGTATCTGACGAAATCACAAGAGGCCAAATTACGACTCCAGGGCCAAGGAGGAGCTGCCATTCTGCCAACTCGGCCAGGTGATGCCTTTGTTTTCGGCCTGGCTCCTGTCTTCGTCTACACTCAAGAGAGGACAACACCACGCCCACCACCTTCGACCGAATTGTTGGACTTGGATCCAAACTCCCCATGTGCAAGGGGTTTATGTCGCAAGTACAATATCAAGGTTGTGTCTGATGACAGCATTGGTGATCGCACGGGCGTGGTAGCCGAGGTCGTTCAGGCAATTGGCAAAGTGTGGGAAAGAGCTATGGACCCCAAGGCTTCATCTGACCCTTCGATTAGGAATTTGCAGGCCACCTTTGATAAATTGTTGACGAGGGGAGATGAGTTTACCGAGATGGATCGTATGGACCTGGTTCGTCATAGCGAAATTCACCAGGAGGTGCTCAGATCCCTGCCTGACAGCATAGCGACAATGAGCCATTATCGGTATGTTTTGGCCACCTTGAGGAGGGAGAAAGACCGGTTGCGTGAACAAATCGATTCAGACCGTGATCTGGTTGCAGCAATGGACGCTACTCTAGAAGGACTACGGCCATTCATCCCAGACGAGATCCCAGACAAGGGGAAGGGGAGGGACAAAAGGGATGGACCAGGGTTTAAGTAGAAGATTAGATCACAAGACTGAGGTTGGTTCGCTATGTAGTTTGCACCCGGGCACGGTTGAAGATACCCGCTGCCGGATAGTGCTCACATTTAATTGGTCGTAAGACAAGCCTCCCGGCTCAATTAGTCAAACGAACACCTTTTCAACCCTTGCCTTTCATGATAGGAAAACATGATCAACTACGAAAAGTGACACTGCTGAAACCGGACACAGACTAACATCATTGAACATGCTATGTATTTCGCACCCGGGCATGAATGACTAACATCATTAAACATGATAGGTTTAACTGACGAATGAAACTTTCTTGGACCGGGTGGAACGAACACTTTCTTCAGCAATCTTTTTCGACCATTCTCAGGTTACTATACCGAGTTCCCCTGTAGAAACCTTGCCTTTCATGATAGGACGAGGTTTTGGTTTTGGCTTGGTGGGGACATCAATAGATGGTTGCTGACTGGGACCGGCCTCTGACTCCTTTTGTTTTGAAGGGACTGGTCGTTTTGCGTTGACACCACTTGACTTAGTGAAATCAAAGCTATTCAAAGCTTTGGTTGTGTCCGACCTCAGATTGGTTGCTTGAGCTGGTTTGACAGTGGCTTGGATAACAGCCGAGGCAGCTCGGCATTTGACTTTGCCTGGTCAGGCACTCCTCGGGCCAAGTTTGTAACCCTTCTCTAACCGAGGAAACTTGCAGGGTGTATCCTCCTCATCAGTGAATTTTCTCTTCTTCACTCGATCGGCCGACTCCACCCCACAGCCCAGGTCGGCTTCCCAAAATGTATCATCAGCCAAGACCTCAGTGTCCGATGGTACTTCATGGGAGAGAGCCTGGGTGTCGTTGTACCGAGGCTGAAGCTCGGGGCTGGTATCTACAGTGATCATAGCATCGTCTGAGCCCAAATCTGATCCTGAGTCTCTATCCTTTTCCAAGGTCGGGTTGACCCTGCTAGGTTTCACTGTGGGCTTGGTCAGAGTATCCTGCTTTGGCCTCTCTTGACCATTATCGGAGTCTGAGTCACTATCATCAGAGCCATCCTCATGATGTTCGTCATGCTGTTTGGTTGGTTTCTTGGTTGGTTTCTCCACATCCAAGTCTTCTCCATCGTCATCGGAGCCATCCTGATCAGGAGTCCAGTCATCCTTACACAAGTATTAGTTACCTTACCCCACTAATACTGAGCCCCCCGACCATACAAACAGACCATAGTTGATGGTGCCTGCTGATGAGCCCATGGATCAGTTGACCCCATCAAAGGTGGACCGGCCATCAAGACTCTCTTAGGACTTGTACTGTGCATCGGCTGAGAAGTGTACCCCATGAATTGACATAGCTAAAAATGCCTTGGATCCTGGGTCAACCGATCTCTTCATGGATTGGGCTCAACATGTGTCATGGGTCAGCTGAAGAGCTCTAAATCCCATGCATTGTGGATCAGCCCACAGCCGTCTCATTTTTATTTGCCAAGTTTACCTCGGCTTTTCATTGCCGGTCATCATGCAGTTTACTGGGTCGGGTCCATCACCTACCATGCAAGTTTCTCAAAGCCCCGGGTGAGACTCTCTTGTAACGCAGCTGGCGTAGTCTCCCACTTGTTCTCCAGTGTCTTGACGGCTTCCCTCACCTCGGCTTCCAGTCTCTGGTGATCACTTCGGATGGACTGCAAATCTTCTTGTGTTTCCTTCCAACGCATGTGGGCAGACTCTTCAATATGGTCCATCCGGCGAGTCGCTCCAGTGATTTTTTCTTCCTGAAACCAAACGGAGGTCTCTAGACTTGCAATTTTCTCCGACAGAGGACGGCTAGCCAAATCTTGATCTTGAATACACCGGGTAATCTCTTCGAGCGCCAAAAGACGTTGTGACAGGGTCACAGGTGAGTCAACCGCCGGGGGGAGAAGGGCACTTGCGTCAATATCTTGTTTTCGGACCACAAATGCCGAATACTCTCGCATAGTAGGGGTAGACGACTCCATGACGCTGACTTGCGCTTGTTGGTCTCGGAGTTTCTGCAGGAGGTCGGCTTGGCCATGAGCAAGTCTTCTGATCTCCTGCTGCATCGTCTGCATGTCGAAGTTCGGTGGGGGGCTCAAGGACCTAAAGTCAATCTTCTTCTGATAGAGCGCCGTGTCAACTAAGTTTTCAAGTTGAGAATCATGGGAAATGAGAAAACAACTTGAAACGTACGATGAACCTCCTTGGGATCTGGTGGGCTGACCTGCCGAGAACGGGATACCGAACGCGAACCTTCTGGCCGGGACGTGCGCTCAACAGGTGGGGGTGTAAAGCTTTGTTGCATATAATTGACAGCCAAGCCCAATTCTATAAACGAAGTCAGCAAAGAATAACGAGTTTCATGAATTTTTTACCTGGCCGCATTGCTAACTCGGGCACGATCCACTCCATCTCACTGGCTGG